TGAAATTTTATAAATATATGACATTTGCCTTAAAGAAAGGATAGTTTTTATCCGGATAATATAAAAAAAAAATCAAACAAAAGGTAGTTTTTATAAAGTCGAACGTTTGCTAAATAGAATAGTTTATTATAAAAGGTGACAAGCATTTATTGTTTGGGATTTATTACGAGCATATTGCGAAAAAGTGAAGTCTTCCTTTTTCTTCGACTTACATAAGAAATACACCTAAAAGTCCTCATGACGAACGTTCGTTTTTAGAGAATAATTCAGGTAAGGAAGCAGACGGGGGTAACTGTTTTGTCAACGCCCTTTGAAGTTCTGTTTATTTACGAATTATACACTTCAAAGCGCCCAGCCGGGAATTGCCAACGGCTCTCGAGCGGTTTGGTAGCTTGAAACAAAGGTATTTGCTAGTACCATTTATTTTATATGTGATATTAAGTAATTAAACGGTGTTACTCGAGGGCTTAGAGGTGGAAGTAAACTAAATTGTGTCATCATTTCCTTAAAATCGTCTTTGTCGCGGTCTGTGGGATATTACAAAGGACTTACTAGAGAGTAGCTCTAATTTGCAGATTATGTGAGTAATATAATAAATATATATCTATGGGTATTTATATAGGTATTTTATTTATTTCTACTTTATTGTAAGGAAATATAACAACGGAAAACAAATGTATAAAAACGAGCTTAACTCTGTTCGAGTCCACTTCCAACAAACCCAAAGTAAAAAGTCACCATTAATGACATTTCGTGTTTCTACCGTCAAACAGTTGTGTTTGCATGGCGGTGTTTCAGTTTGAAGGATGGGATAAGGGAGTAAATTTACAGGGTACAGAGAAATAACACCTGAGTCAACAGGAATCGCAACGCATGGGGGGTATCATGGGTGAAACAGTATACTGTGTTATGTCTATGGTACTGCTCTTTTCTATAGCTTACCACTTTCCATCTGGTGGGCCGTCAGCTCGTTTACAATTCTAAGTTGCATAAAAAAACGAAAAGCTGTAAAAAGCAACCAATCAGATATATAAGATAAAACCGAAATAATTAACATCCTTTTTAGACATTATTTCACGGTAATAAAAATAAAATAAATGCTTTCATAGACTTTAATATAAAGTTTAATCATTTTCATTTATTTTTTATCTTAAGCATCTTTGACTTCCAAGAACCATTCTACTTCGCTGATTTAAATCGCATTAATTTATCGTAATTTTGTACTTACTCTATTCACTCTAAGAGGTTTACGACCCGCTTCGCCTTTGATCATTTTTCGATTGAAACGATGAACACTTAATTAAGTCTTCATTATGAAAACAACATTAAATAGTAATTTAATACTCCTTATAAATATTTATAATAAATTGAAATAATTAATTAACAAATATTTCTCCCGAATAAAGTACCAACGCATCAGTAAAGGGTTGCATCAAATTCGAATGAATGAATGAATGAGTATACTTTATTTGCATTATACAATATAGGAAATAAGCAAGACAATTAATAAATATAAGAATATTGTACAATTGTATAAGTACAATAAGGCGACCTTATTGCAATTTTCTTAAGACAACATTAGGGTAATGGACTAATTGTTGTACAAGTAGGTATCATAATAATGTATAATTAAGAAAGTTAACAGCGAAGAAACATTAGGGAAAATAATTATAAATACCTTTAACCCAAACATAACACTAATGAAATTAATGATTTATTATTGATAATGAAGATTGTATTCCAATAAAAAAAAAAAAAAAACTATTTCAATTGTAGCAAAACAAATTATTTCAATTTAAAATGTAACTACTTATTGAAACGATTTTAAGAAAATATCTGTGTAACCTACACATTGGTTACACAGATATTTTCTTAAAATATATCTTAAAGTATATCCTTTCAGATAAAAAAAAAAGAAATTACAACTGCCAGAGTTCCACATGCCATATCATAAAATTATAATATTTATACACATAAAAAACAGAAAAATTAAAACATAAAATCAAATAAATAAATCAAAAATTCACCATTACACCTCGAATCCCGATAGCGAAGTGTAACAAAAAAAAAATTAAATAAAATACAGCTGGAGTTTTTTTTTTTTTGATTGGTGAAAATGGAATAGTAACCTCGTCTGCGCTAACGGGATACGCTGGTGCAGCACCAGTGAAGGGTGATAGATGAGAATGAAAACAGGCCAGTTAGCCCATCATGATGAATTCATCAGGAATTAACCATGATAGTTTCCAGGGAGAACCGCGAGGCGGTCGACCTGGTTGGGTATATTGCTAGCAATGGGATTCTCAATCTCCATTACTAACAATCCTTTTCCCCCCAAACAGTACTACTACCAACCAATACTAATAATAATTACAGTTAGTTTATAACGAAAAAAAATACAAACGAATTAAGAACTCCTTTTGTTTGAAATCAATTGAAAATACATACATACAGTCGTCATAATAATTGGAAAAACAAGTAGCAAGTTTTGGAATAGCTCTATAATAAAATAAATTCTAATATAATTTATAGAAATAACTCGATTTCATCTCGGCCAACGCGCGATCGTCCACTAAATGGAAATTTATTGCTTGCCAACGCCGCGACGCGGGCCGTCGGTATTATAGGATTGTTGACTTACAAGAAAATATATTTATTGCCCAGTGCATCCTGTTAGTTTCATAATATGATATAAAATACTGTTTACCATTAAAATGATTTGGTAATAGCTATTTTAGGGTCGGCAACGCGCACGTGACACCCCTAGTGTTGCAGGCGTCCATAAACTACAGTGACAGTTTACCATCAGATGGGCTGTATTCTTGTTTACCACCTTTTTGGTATAAAAAAATCCCGCGGCTTTCTTTACGTGCATCAGTATATAAAATATCTTATATACTAAATTAAACTGTGTACCAAATTTTATTCAAATTTTAAGCAACTTTTGCGTGAAATAGTAATAAACATCCCTTCTTCTCCGTCCTATCTTCGTGAACGATTTGATTTCCTAGTTCCTCATGACGTATCCTCTCGTTCGACGAAGCCTCTTATCCTCAGAAAGCTTTCTCACTCGTCTGCGCTAGATAGAAGAGATTGTTAGTAATGCGAACTACCAGTCCCATTTTTTTTAATGGGTGATAATGGAATGATAACCCCACCCGCGCTATCGGTATACACCGGCGGGGCACCAGTGAAAAATGATAGGTGAGGATGAAGCAGGTTAGTTAGGCTATCGTGACGATTTCAACAAGAATTGTTCACGATGGTTTCCAGGGGGAACCACGTAGAGGTCGACCTAATAGGGTATATTACTAGCAATGGGGTTATCAAACTCCATTGCTAACAATCCCTTTTCCCTACCAGTCCCATTGCTAGCAATATGCCTTGTCGAATATGGTCCCCCTGGAAAACATCGTGCTGAATTCCAGGTGTAGTCATTACGATGGGCTAACTGACCTGCCTTTTAGTTCTCACCTATCATTCCTCACTGGCGTCCAGCAGACAGGATTACCATTACATCATCATAGATAAAAAAAACTAACCAAATTAATATTCCACCAAAAAAAATTTGAATTGTTCGATTCGAGTTTTTTTTTTTTTTTGGTAACCAGTTATTTTTTATTTAAAAACAAAACTACTAAACAGATTATAATAAAATTTCTGAAATCATAAAATACATAGAACCAATCTGAAAGTATATCCTTTCATATAAAATAAAAGGATTTTGTAAATCTGTTTACAAATGACAGAGTTATGAGGTAACAAACATAAAAGAAATATATTACCGAATTGAAAACCACCTCCTATTTTGAAATCGGTTAAAACACACTAAAACTGCTTCACTCTCTGAATTTTAAGGGACTTCAAAAATAAAGTGATACTCAATTCGCCTGTATTGTTGTGTATGTACTACCTAATAATTTCGCCAATTTTAAACCGACTTTAAAAAAGGAACCTCCTTTTTTCCTCAATTCGGTTGGATTTTGTTTTTATGTCTATTACCTCATAACTCTTTTCTTTTTCTTGTTTTTTTTCTTTTTGTTGTTTTAATTTTTTATTTTCTTAATAATGGTAATAAAGGTCATCTATCTATCTATCTAACTCCATCAATTCTAAACCGATTTGAGACATTCTTTTACCATACTATCCGAAACGATATACTTACAGATTGGTCCCATAGATCTTTTTTTTCAAAATGGGTTTAGTAATTTAGTTTTTACATCAAAATAACTGGTTTTGTCACAATTGATGTCAGTATCTTTAGTGGAACACAATGTTTTTATATAATACTAAACCAATTTTGATGTGTATTTTTGCATTCTCTTACTCCCGTACTGGACACATGCAAATATAGTCGTAATTAAAATACTATATTCTCTGTATTACGATTCAAATCGCAAATTTTTTTCCCGAAGCAAATTCTTAGAATTCTCTATCCACTTAGATCTGACAAAATAAATAATTGTTCTAAATTAAACCGTCCTAGAAGTATATGTCTCATAAATACTTTAGAGATAATTATAATAATAAACTTTTTTATACTTTTATGAATAACTTACACTATATAAATAAAATAAAATAAGAATAAATAAATAAATAATATCAATATATATTAAATTAAGACATATTAACTACTTATTACCAAATAACCATTAGCAGTCTTATTCATAAAAAAACCTTATTGTGGGTACAAAGTGTTCTTTAACTAAAATTAACGTTATTCATAAACACTCATTAATTAAAATATTATGTATTATTGTAATGTTAAATTATTACCTCTTTATCTTTCCTGTACGTAATTAAGAATTCCATTTGTTTGTATACATATTATCAATCTGTATCATTCAAAGAAAGAGATAATAAAGAGTTTTCATTCATTCATATATTTAAAAATACACAGAAATTATAAATGCTTTCTTTTTCAAAAAAATCCAGCATTAATAATATTTAATAAAAAATAAATAATAAATTAATTAAAAAAATATATTTCAATTCATTACCAGTCTCTTCTTTTTCAGTATGCTCCTCAGATTCATCACCTTTCTCACTGTCAGCCATTACCACAAGTATCACAAACTCACTACAAAAAAAAAAACAAACAGAAATACGGCTGTAGGTGTAACACTCACTAATGAATTGCCCTTAAATTATCCGTGTCACGCATCGCTTCTCACAAAACGGCCTAATTTTAAACATCAAAGACAAGACTGAAACTTCGATGAAAAAAAAATTAAGAAGGCCTCTAGCTTTACACAGAATTAAAAAAATAAAAAGAACACCCGTCGTTTCGTTCCGCGTCAAACTTTCCCGCCAATACGCGATTTAAATTTTTAAAGACTGGCATGGCACAAATAGACGTCTATAAGCTGCCAGTGTCGCTCACATACTGTGTAATCTATTTTAGTTGATTTGATGGGCCAAAATAAAAATATTTAATGTGTATGGTGTATATGATTTATTCACACGTGCAATTTACCGAGTTATTTTGTATATTTCATCAAGTTTAATTGCCCGGCACTAATTTGGGGTGTGTGCCCGCTGCTGCCACTTTAATGTTATATAGCTATAATATAGCTATAGCTATACGTACTCAGTATGAATCACTATTTGAACTAGACATGTATAATAAATTATAATATAAATTTTATAGTTAGATATTACATAGTCATAATAATCCTCTCCAGATTGGACAGTTTTGCCAGTAGTTGCCATACTTGGCAGGAGGTTTGGCAACCGCAATTAAGCTGTGGTGATATTTTAAGAGAGACGCTGCTGCCCATCCTTCGCCCTCCTTAGTCGCCTCTTACGACACCCACGGGAAAGGAAGGGATGGCCTATTCTATGCCTGGATCACACGGCGATTAAGTATAATTTCATACATATAGTATTTTTTATTATTTATCTAATACCCAAATTTTAATGCGTGAAAATAGAATGATAATCCTATCTGTACATAGACCTCGTTCTCTTAGGGGGTTTTGCCACTATTACTTACGCTTGGCAGGCGGGTTTTTGTGATGTTTTAAGAGGGACGCTGCTGTGGGCAGCAGCGTCCCTCTTAAAACATCCCTTGACAATTAAGCCCCCGTAGTCGCCTCTTACGACACTCTAAGGAAAGGCAAGGCAGGGGTGAGCCATTCTAGTCCGGGACCAGACGGCGACTTATTTTATTAAATAATATTATTATTATAGCAAAACAGGTCTCAATTGGATAATCGGTTTATAATAAGGAAATATTATATGGAATGAACTTAAATATATATATATATATATATATATATATATATATAAACAAATTATAAATAGTAACAAATTCGATGAAAGGATATAAGGAGATTAACCTTTTATATCTATCCATTTCATCGATTAGATCTGAGTTGGTATTCAACCACTCTATAAATCTATATATATATATATATATATATATATATATATATATATATATATATATATATATATATATATATATATATATATATATATATAGACCAGTATATTACAGAGAAGTATATATGTATCCTTGTGACTTAAGGAAGATGGTGCAAATAACATAGAGTCAAATAAGGAACCTTCTAATTTTTTAAAGCAGTTGAGAATAGCATACCTACTCTATGCGTTTTAGTACTAATAAAAAAAAAAATATGATAGCATTTTATGCACAACCGCACCAGTTGCTTTTACGACGCAGTGGCTTCCTAACGTAATCCTATTTTATAAATATTACAGTGTCACCCGGCAGATGGCGATACTGGCGGTTTTACCTTGCAAACATGAGATCATAACACAGCTGTAAGATAACAATTTTTATTCTTACCCCCTTATTTATAAAATGATCAAACCTCTTATAAAATTACTATAGCTATTGAAATGTTTTCTTTTATCTTTTGCGCCGTTTTTTTCAAGTTCAAAGACATATATATATATATATATATATATATCATAAGAATTAATATTAAGTATAAAATATTCCGTATTCATTCCTTAAAACTGTTTATATTTATTTATCTAAAACACGATACGATACGGTACGATAATTCAGAACGCTCTATTCGTAAATAGCTCTTACAGTCTATATTGTATAAACGTAACACACACTAACATAAGAGGGACAAAATTTTACCAAATTTATAGTTTCATTTAAACCTGATTTATCGGTGTAAGCAATATTCTAATTTAATTTGCGGATTTAGGATTTTTAAAACATTTTTTTTTTGTTATTGGTTATTAATAAAATACCTTTATACTTGCAGCGTGTATTACAAAAATATTTTGTATGAAAATGACCCCGGCTCAACCACCTTATACCTTACACCTTATAGTTAAGTAGGTTATAGGACTTTTTGATTTTATGAATAAAGGGGTTTAGTGTTTTCTTGGCTGGACTGATATGCAAGTCGTTAACCGTACGTAAAACTAAAAATCTGATCATGCTATATAATAAATTAACATGGAGCTTCGGCTTTACCTGAGGTCATATCGTGATGCTGAATAACCTGAACCTTTCTCAAAAAAACTAATTCTTCCGCTTTGTTTTAGCAGTACTTTAGAGACTTTGTACAAGTCGTTTGCTTGGGCACCTCTGTCCCATTCGTATTTCTACGTTATTTGTAGTTCAGTTGGTGTATATTGGTAATTATATATTGGCAATTCACTCTAAAAATAAAAATAAATGCTAACCGAATGTTTTATTAGCCGTCAACCGCTTTAAGCAACCCAATTTTGCCAAATAATTTTTACCACTCTGAGCCCAGCTTACGAGGCAAAATTACGAGATACGAAGGTATAACATCTTTATCCTCAAGAATATAAACGCATGTAGTACAACCATGGGCTGCATAGAGTATTCTACATGAATGATGCCCATATTCATAGACAATGAAATGTTTTTTTGGGGGGAAAGGGATTGTTAGCATTAGAGTTTGACAACCCCATTGCTAGCAATATGTCCTATTAGATCGACCTCCATGTGGTTCCTCCTGGAAACCATCGTGAACAATTCTTTTTGAATTCGTCACGATGGGCTAACTGACCTACTTCATCCTCATCTATCATCCTTCACTGGTGCCCCGCCGGTGTATACCGATAGCGCGAGTAGGAATGGAAAAATAAATGTTTTTTTTTTATGGATTATAAAGGAATGGCGGCCGCACCTATGCTAAAGATATAGGCGTGGCACCAATGAGGGATGGTAGGTGAGAATTAAAAGGCAGGACATAACTGTCCATCCCATCGTGATGAATACACTTGGAATTCAACACGATGGTTTCCAGGAGAGACCACGAGGAGGTCGACCCGACAATCGTTTCTTCAGGGGGCGTTACACTGCGTCATAGCGTCTCGCCTCGTGTCCGGATGAAATCAAAACAATTGTCGGAAACGACAAAAACACAGTGAGTTCATTAATTTTCCGTTACATATGTCTACAGACATCGAATAAAAATGGACATAAGTTTTGAAAATAAAATTAGAAAGCATTTGTGATATTATTTTTAATTTCTCTGTCGAAAACATTAAGTATTATTTACTGGAATGTTAGTGCAACGAGGTAACTAACGATAAATTCCACTACCCGGACCTTATCTCACAGCTGTGAAATATTTTATAACTAAACCCAGTATCTTCATGCGCTCGGCTAATCTCAACTGACTTAGAAGAGAAATGGGGAATATTATTAAAGCTTAGACCAAGAACGTATACATAGATAGAGTGTCATTCTATAAATTGCTATAACAAATCAGCCTATTTAAAAAAAAATGGCGGGCAATATTATATATTGTATTAATATGTATATGTATATTTACTACATATTGTCTACTTTATATTTTCAAACTTTAGGGCACCCTGCCAAGAGTGTAATTTTTTAATTGTTGAAACACTTATCCCCTTATAGATAATAACTAAAACCAACTACAAACTTTTTTTCACTGTTTTGTCACTTTATTTCAAATTAGAAATATAGCATATATAAATTGGAAATATAGCATAGCAAGAGACAAAACAGTTTAATAGCTAAAATAGGTTTATGATTTATGAGACTTAATAGAAACGGGTAAATAATTAAAATACTTAATAATTTAGTTTACCTCATCGCATTCCTATCTACATCGGTAGGAAAACATAAAAATAATGACAGAAATCGAAAACAAAATGATAGAAAATAAGTAAAATATGATGGCCAGTAATACGCCACAAGACGTTTGACGTTTTTATGAATAAGAGTGTCAATATTAGCACCCAGTATAAAAAAGCGACACTAGCAATAGTTTTAGAGATTTTTATGCTCCTAATTTTTTAAAAATATATGTCATCTTAGATCAAAAAACATTTTTTTAATTTTTTTTTATTCAACTAAGAATGGCATACAAGCTTACGGGCCACCTGATGATAAGTGGTAACCGTCGCCTATAGACATAAGTAGTACCACTGACATAACAGAGTGTACTGTTTCGCCCATGAATAATGACACATAAATGTGTGAGTTTGTTTGTTACTTTATAGCGTCTTAACGGCTTAACCAATCACTATGTAATATGGTATACATTTGCTATATAGGTGGAGAAAGATAGAGGCTACTTTTTTATCCCGGTCAGTAAACATATCCCGGTCACGCGGATGATGTAGCGGGTAAAAGCTGATGGAAAGTGGTAACCGTCGCCTATAGACATGAGCAGTACCATGGACATAACAGAGTATACTGTTTCGCCCATGATAACCCCCATGCGTTGCCTTTCCTGAGGACTCAGGTGTTATTCCTCTATACCCTGTAAATATATTTACCTTACCTATTGTACTAGCTGTGTGTGTGTATACTTGTTTAATATATCCTGTGTATTAAATTCAAATCCCTTCAGCCGTTTAAACCTGATTAACTATTAATCATACACAAACATTCAAAAATCTTTACAAACTTTTATATTTATTATATTAGTAGAATTGACAGGTTATCTTAGTACCAACACTAGTCTCTCACAAAGATTGTTTTAAATTGTAACTTATGTAACTGCAAGTTTTAGTGTTGTTATTTTGTGAGAGAAATAAATATACATATAATTAGACATAATATCTTTTTTTTTTTTATGAGTGAAATTGGTATGGTAACCCCGCCTGTGCTAACGGGATACGCTGGCGGAGCACCAGTGAAGGGTGATAGATGAATGAAAACAGGCCAGTTAGCCCATCATGATGAATTCATCAGGAATTAACCATGACAGTTTCCAGGGAGAACCGCGAGGAGGTCGACCTGGTTGGGTATATTGCTAGCAATGGAATTCTCAATCTCCATTACTAACAATCCCTTTCCCCTCTAACATAATATCATTAGATATCGATAACCGATGGGCAGAGCCAAGTCTCGAGTGGCAACCCCTCGCAAGCAAAAATACCAAATATAGGAACATGGAACAACCTCTCACGAAATTTTAATGATTTTAAAAGTATTGCACAATATCTTTAGATGCAAACGGTGCAGGATCGTACTTTGTAGCAAAATATGAGTGAGATCTATATTCAATAAAGGACGAAGGATGTGTTGCTATTAAAATGATGCTTAAATATTGCAATAAATTATAATACAAACACGATTACTACCTAGGAAGTTCAAGACTGCGTTGGTAGTGAAAATATTAATGCATTTTTAAACGCAATCGCTACTGGCAGTGGAATAATTAGACAAAGCTGTTTCAAAGCTTTATATTGAGCAGTTCATGAATAAATAATATGGTTTTGATTAAGCCGGTTAAATTATAGATGTCTTGCACAGAATAACAAATTACCTACAATGGTGTAATGAAACGAAATAATTTACCATGTTATTTCCGTCAGACCTTCATAATAAATAAGTAGGTAACTTGCTCTATTTGTAAGTACGCTGTACCTCCCACGTCTATGCTGTGTAACTATATAATAGCAAAACAAATAATTTGGGCATGTATCATAACCGTAGACTTGAATGATTTAGATGATCAATCGCCCCATTTGTAGTAAATCTTTTAAGTATGTCCTCATATATTCCAATCAATATATTTACAATGAAATACTCAGAAGATTTACATACATGTATCAATTTCCGCATTGGAAAAGCGTCATCATGAAAAAATCTCAGACTCTTGAAAACAATTTGTTTAACCAATGCTGGCATCTAATCTCAATAGATTACATATAATTTACCAATTAGTATTTTACCTTCATTTGAGTTTATTTAATCAATAAAAGTCAGTCATAAAAATCAAATATAATGAAAGAAGTAAAATATATTTTTTCATAGATAAAGAAATTAAACTACGGCATGAGGTGCCTACATTCATGAATTTTTTAATATAGCAACATCAATTGACTATCAGAGAAATGTCAATGTCAAATGTCAATAAATGACGTCTCTTTTATTATTGTCACGAGTCGCCGCAATGTTTTGTAATTTTTTTGCAATAACCTGAAACAACTGATAATAAATCTATGTTCGTTTTATACAATTTATCCACTTTTATTTTAAAATAGCAGCCATTAGTTTATACTATGGCGGACGGTGAAGAAAACTTGCATCGTTTGGAAGGAACATCAGGCGATGCTCCTGGCGGCTTAATCATCAAAAAGAAGGACGAACCTGCTGAATTTCAATTCGCTAAGCCTTCATTGTTAGGTCTAGATAAGCTGGCAGCAGCTAAACGTAAGCAGAATAGGTTGATTTCCTTTCAAGACGATGCGAACGAAGAGGACGACACGGAAAGCAAAACGGACTCCACAGGTGTTAAAGAGCGTAAATACAGGAGACACAACGAAGAGACGCCAACATACACTGGTGGAATATCGGAACAAGCACGAGAACGCATGCTGGAGCGATTACAAAAGTAATAACGTACATTGTTTTTATTGAAATAATTATATCCTTAGTTTCTTATAGTATGTTTAATATCATTCTAATTGAAAGCTATAAATTAGTTTTGCTTGAATAACACATTAATATAACAAAAAATATCTCTATCTATCTTAAAAGTAAAATATGTATCTTAAATACATATTTTGCTTTTATTAAAAAATATTCTGTTTTATGTATGTAATATGTTTAATGAAATGCATAAGCCATTTATATTTTAGTTATAACATTTATATTTATAACATTTTAGTTATAGCAGAGACTGTATTTTAGAATAATTAAGTATATATATTTATCCCTTTAATTTGGCTCTGTATATATAATTTACTAAGTTATCTATTAAAATTCATGAGCTATACTTTGCATGTTATAATATAGCATAGACGAAATGTCACTAGTAATAGAAATTACTAGAATTTAACTTATAGATTCATTTAAATATTGATCATGATAAAAGTTCTATAGACTAAAATTGAAGTATGGTTCAAATACAATTCTGTTGGGGTCAATAAGAGACAAGATTTAACATGATCTTTTAGGTAAACTATGATAATTTACTTGAGTTATCTCTACATTTTAACTAAGTTACACTGGTCACGATCATGAGTAGACTGATGTACCAATGTCATGCCCCTGCTTCTAAGGTGGAATACTCAGGTAAATCATCATAGTTTACCAGAATTATTGTATTAATTCCCGTATCTTATTAACTATAAGTCATGCAACACAAAAATCTAAAAGTTAATACACTTTTATTTATTTTAAGACTTTTGCATTGTATTTTCGTGGTTTATAAGAGATGGGAATTAATATAAAAACTGACAAAATGTCAATTTGATCTTTAATCAACTATTAATAAAATATTAATTATAATAATTATTTCTTGTAAATGTAACTCAATTTGATCATAATTAATGAAGTGTATTTGACTCTAATACATTTTTGAAATATGCTTTCACAGAAAGGAGAAAGAATCTAAAGAAAAAGGTGTTCACCACTCCACACAGGAAGAAAAAAAATCAAGATCCAAAGATGATGAAGATGATAGATTCTACCGTCGCCGGTATGACAGACGTGACCGTGACAAAGACAGATATGACAGACATAGGAGAGATAAAGATAGAGATCGAAGGGACAGAAGGGATGATAGGGATTCAGAGAGAAGAGACAGGGATAGACGTGACCGAGATAGTGAAAGAAGTAGGGACAGTTCACGGCATAGTTATTACGAGCCAAGATTCAAAGATGAACCTAAGACACCAAGGTTTGTATAAATATAAATGCATTCATTTTTAGCACATAGCGGATGTAAATTATTAGATAAATAGTACATAACTAGATATTGTATTTATACATAATATTTTTCTTTCCTCATCTATAATTGAAAAAAAATATTTAGATAACTTTTTCTAATGCTTTCTGATATGGAACCAGCTTATATGTTACTTTTGTGCAATATCCACTTTAAAAAAGTAAAAAGTTTTTTATTAATGCATAAAATAGAAAGGTAACCCTGCTTGCGAACTACATCCAATTTTATGTAACAGACACAAAATTTCTAAGATTATTTTTATGGAATCTATTGGTCTTATTAAAACCCCTCATATTAATTATTTTTAGATGTCTCCCATACATACAGTTGCAATTTTATCATATTAGTAAGGTATTTTCCCAATGTTCTAGTATGTTTAAAATATAGGATACTTAGTAACATGGACAGTCTTATCAGTTTATCACGCAACACCTATTTTTAGCATTTGTAGATCAAAGTCAGTAGAAATCGCCTTACGAAATTTCTTTTATTATTTTTTACATTACTTATTCAAATCAAATAATTGTTGCAGCTTAAAAGCCCTCAAACCTACTGACAAAACAGCGTGGGATGATGACGATGATGATCCAAAAGCGATACGTAAGTCCAGTTGGGACTTCCCAACTCCTCTACCAAGAGATGCAGGGCCCTCGGACCGGTCACAGCGCAGTGAGAGAAGTGGCAGACCACTGAGGGATTACAAGGGTCGTTTATATGAAGACAGTGCTAGAGCAACTCCACACAAGTAAGTGTTAATATATACTGTCCATTTTTAGTTCACTTGTCAGATAGTTGTTGACAATAATATTTTTTTTTTTATACAACTTAGAATGGCAAACAAGCTGACGGCCCATCTGATGGAAAGTGGTAACCGTCGCATATATACATGAGCAGCACCATGGACATAACAGAGTATACTGTTTCGCCCATGATACCCCCCATGCATTGCCATTCCTGAGGACTCAGATGTTATTCCTCTGTACCCAGTAAATTCACGCCATATCCCACCCTTCAAACCGAAACACAGTTATGCAAACACAACTGCTTCACGGTTGAAACACGAATGGGACAGAGGTACCCAAGCAATCGACTTTTGTACAAAGTCTCCCTCTGGTAAATAATAATAGTGACATGTTGGGATGAAAACCTTGAATTTTGAACAAATTGCTTCTGGTTTTATTTAATTTTATTCACCTATAACAATAATAAACTGTTATTTTGTTAAAAATATTGAAAATGAAAAGGCAATGCACAAGCAACTCCTCTCATGTTGCAGGTGTTCATGGGTGATGGTAGCCACTTTGAATCAGGTGGACTGTCTGCTTATTTGCCTCCCTAACAATAAAAAAAAAAAAGTTAATAAGTAGATTATGAACAGCTGGACTAATTTGACTATATTTTTAACCCTTAAATACCTGAAGTTTCAAATTTGGTACCGGGATTATATATCGCATTGGGCGCCTACAATCGATTTTATTTTAATATTTGGCTATTTACATTTTACCAAATGTTTTTATCAAAATAAATATATAAAAATATCGTATTTTTTTACAATTTTTCCCATTAGTAAACACAGTGAAGGGTACACTTATATATTTTTTTATTTGATTTAAAAAATCAGGCTTTTAAGGGTTAATGTTTGAATTTGTTTTTAAATAACTATAATAGATTAAAGTTTCTAAATAAAACAAAAATTATTTGGAATTGAAAAGTTAACTGTCCGAAGAGTTATCGACTTAATAATAAAATAGTAATTGTAAAGTTTAATTTATAAATGATTTTATTATTATTATGAGTTATAAAGATATATGAAGTCAAAGATAAATAAAGATTGACCGTAAAAGAATTTGTATCAATTTTGCACATCATTATAATAATATGGCTAATTATGTGATTTTACATACATATATCACTGAGATCTATTTCAATCACATTTATTGAAATAAATTATTATTATTATTTAAGATTTAGCATTTAGAGAAAGAAAGAAAGAAATAATTTAATCGTAGAAGCATGCGGCCCACACAGTAGCGCACGAAACAAGAACAAAAGAAATCAAAACAAAAGAAAATAACAAATTGTATACAAATAGAAAGCAATTAAATTATAAGAATAATCAATAAACAAACAAACAAACAAACAGTAGGATAACTCTTGAATCCAACATGGATCTCAATCCAAAAAAGAGCTTTTTTTAATGGGTGAAAATGTAATAATCACACCGACTGCGCTATTCTAGCCGCGCACCAGTGAAGAGCGATAGGTGAGGATGAAAACAGATCAGTTAGCCCATTGTGAGGAATTTAATAATAATAAACCATGATGGTTTCCACAGAGAATCATGGGGAGATCGACTTCATAAAGTATATTGCTAGTAATAATGTTTTGATCTCCATTACCAATAATCCTTTTCCCCCACTTATTCAGTACTTTTTTTTATGGGTGAAAATGGTATGGTAACCCCGCCTGCGCTAACGGGATACGCTGGCGGAGCACCAGTGAAGGGTGATAGATGAGAATGAAAACAGGCCAGTTAGCCTATCATGATGAATTCATCAGAAATTAACCATGATAGTGGGGGGAAAGGGATTGTTAGTAATGGAGACTGAGAATCCCATTGCTAGCAATATAACCAGGTCGACCTCCTCGCGGTTCCCCCTGGAAACTATCATGGTTAATTCCTGATGAATTCATCATGATGGGCTAACTGGCCTGTTTTCATTCTCATCTATCACCCTTCACTGGTGCTCCGCCAGCGTATCCCGTTAGCGCAGGCGGGGTTACCATACCATTTTCACCCATAAAAAAAAAAAAAAAAAAAAAAAAAAAAAAAAAAAAAAAAAAAAAAAAAAAAAAAAAACATGATAGTTTCCAGAGGGAACCGCGAGGAGGTCGACCTGGTTGGATATATAGCTAGCTATGGGATTCTCAGTCTCCATTACTAACAATCCCTTTCTCCCACGTATTCAGTACTAAAAGACTGATCCCATAAGGAAAGATACCTATATATTTTATCTGAAACGTTTTATTTTCAGATTTGCAAGTTCAAGACGAGGCTTGGACATAGACGATCCAGAATGGCAAGAAGCTGAGAAAAAGCTGGACAGGGCATGGTACAACATGGGCGAAGGTAATTATTTAAATCTAATGTCATCTATCAGGTTAAGAGGTGTCTGTACTCTATTATGGAATCCACATATAAACCGATTTCCACATTATCAGCTCTCAACTGGGAATAGCTTTTTCTACAGCCATTAACTGTTCACTGCCTAACATAGACCTTCCCCTTGAGGGATTTCGCCAGTAGTTGCCACGCTTGATAGACGGGTTTTTTTTAATGGGTGATAACGAAATGGTACCCCGCCTGCGCTATCGGTATACGATAGCAGGGCATCAGTGTGGGGTGATAGGTGACGATGAAAGCAGGTCCGTTAGCCAATCGTGATGAATTCCGCTAGAATTAATCACAATAGTTTCCAGGGGTAACCGCGTGGAGGTCGACCTGATAGGGTGTTCCTAGTTATGGTGACAGACGGGTTGGATTACCGCAGTTACGCTTTGGTGATGTTTTAAGTGGGATGCTGCTGCCCGTCCCTCGCCCTCCCTTACGATACCCATGGGAAGGAAGGGATGGCCTATTCTATGTCGGGACCACATGGGAAACTTTTGTAATTTCATCTGGTAAAGAAGGTATAAGTTTAAAAAATACATTTGTGAATAGGTGAAGCAGACGAATCCGATCCATTTGCGGATACGAGCGCTGAATATATCGCTCGGAAAGAGGAACAAATCGAGAAACGGCGTAACCGCAAGGTGTCAGCACAGCGGCAGCAGATAGACAAGGACAACGAGCTGTGGGAGCGAAACAGGATGCTCACCAGTGGCGTAGTACACTCCATCAATGTCAATAATGATTTAGACGAGGTACGAAGTGTTTTAGTCGATTTAACCCTTTTAGTGCCATTGATTTTTACCTTTTACCATATCTACTTAAAATGCCAAAGAAATCGTTGTCGTGTTAATGTCATTTACCCTTGTCTCTAAAAAAACTGTATCTCCTCCAAAAATTATCCAATTTTAATATTTTTTTTTTATAGCAAGCTAAACAGCGACTGATTTCACGAGCGCTACGACCCTCGTGGCACTTTTAGTTGCAATGCGCACGAGCGCGATGGCGCTCGTCGGCACTCAAAGGGTTAATAAAACAGTCAATGTATTCGTCACTTGACTCGACAATTTTTTAAGGATTTTCAAAAGAAGGAATTTCTCAAATTTAAGTTTTTTCTATGAATTATCAGATTTGGTAATTTTCTTAGTTCTCTTCTCGATATGTACAGTTTATTGCAGTTATGGTCGCTTATTAATATTACCACTATATCATATTGTTATGTCAAACCCTTTTTTTTATAAAGACATGACGATGACTAAGCCAGTATGGGGTTCTCCAAACAGGGTAGGGTAGGAAACGCGCACGTGGCACCCCTAGTGTTGCGAACGTCCATAGGCTACAGTGACCGTTTACCATCAAACAGACAATCAGAAATAAAACAGACAAGCTGTATGCTTGATTGCAACCTTCATAGTACAAAATAAAACACATGTTCACAAAATAAACTAAAAGCATGTTTCGAAGAACCAGACACGATTTTATTTATTCCTCTCCATTCTAAGGTTGCCTAGAAGAGATTGCTATTTAGCGATAAGACCGCCATTGTTGTCCCTATATCTTGCTTTTGAATGTAATGAAGTTTATGTAATCAATGAACGAGCTCCCTGCTGAGGTTTTTCCCCAAGAGACTACACTATGGAGTTCTTCAAGGGTGGGGGGGGGGGGGACCAATAGATCCAAGAGACTACAGCATGAGGTTCATCAAAAGGGGGTGGTTAAGAAGTTTCTTCAGGGTCGGCAACACGCGCGTAATACCCCTGTGTATGTATATAATGTATTACAGGGGTTTATAGGCTACGGTAACCGCTTACCATCGGGTGGGCCGTATGCTTGTTTGCCACCTCAATAATATTAAAATAAATATTTATTTTGTTTGTGTGCATATTATCAATCATTATAATCTATGTCATTCTTTGAAGGGAACAATAAAAAGTTTTCATTCATTCATTCATGTTTTGGGTATGTCTTTGTATTGATCTTGATATTCTATGTATTATAAATATATTTTTTACAAAAAAAAAAGCATATGTTTATCAGTTGTGTAGTATCCATAATGCAAAGTCTGCATATTTGGTAATAGATGGCGCTGTAAATAAATAAACAATAATTCTTAATAATATTTACTTGCAGGAGAGTGTAGACCGCGTTCATCTACTCGTTCATAATATTGTGCCGCCGTTTCTTGATGGACGAATTGTGTTCACCAAGCAGCCGGAGCCTGTGATACCGGTAAGTAGTGTTGCCAGATTGGGTATATATATTTTTTTTTATTTGGTTAGAAAATATCTGTTTCGATTTTTGCATTTTCGAGAAATTTGGATAATTTATTGAGATTTTTTTAATATGTGTTAATGGTTTACCTCTAGCGGTATATAAATACAATAAATATACCCATAATAGATATACTACATTATATATATATATATATATATATATATATATATATATATATATATATATATATATATATATATATATATAAACTATTATACAACATAATTTTATATAACAAAAATATAAAAATTGACAAAACACAACAAAGGACAAGTTTCTCGAGGTAATGACAGATGAGAAAATGTAATGAACTAAAACAATAGAGTCAATTCCGAAGCACCATTCACTGTAACTGTCTAAAATTATAATTTCAAATAATAACTCTACTAAGAACCAGTACATTTTTTTTTCTATAGCATTACATCAGCATTGCTTCACATTTAATTCTTGGTGGTACATACCATAAAAATATTAAAATAGAAATTTTAGACATAAATAATTACTTCTTCAGGTGAAAGATCCCACGTCCGACATGGCGATAAACGCTCGTAAAGGTTCGGCTCTAGTGAAAGCATTTAGAGAGCAGAAGGAGAGACGGAAAGCACAGAAGAAACACTGGAAACTGGAAGGAACTAAAATTGGTAACAATATGTTTTTATTATTTGTTTTTTATTCTTTTTTCTCAGTATTAGTTGGTATATACCGGCGTATATACGCTACTGTGTTAGCATATACTATACTTACGGGTCGTAACCAAGTAAGGTCGTAGTGTGTAAGCGTGTACGTGTATATGTGCGTGTGCGTGCGTTTGTGTGTGTGTGCGCGCGTGTATGTGTAACATACGCATACAGGACATAACACAAAGTATACTGTGTCGACCGTGATACCCTTCATACGTTACCTGTATTCCTGAGCATTAACGTATCATATTATTGTTATTGGTGTGTATTATTTAAAAATACAATTATCTATTATTGTTAAATGTCCCACTGTTATATGTCCATTGTATACATACAAACATGTTTTTATCTACTATATATATAGAGGTTTATTTAGTTCACTTATTTGGAGAAATATGTAGATAATAGTACTGGCAACTGAGAAACGCACGCGTTGCCATGGTGACCACAAATAACAAAAAAAGTTTGTTCTTATTAAAAATGTTTGTATAACAGGACAACGTTTTTTTATTTATCACAAAATTAATTAAATAAACCGAGTAGTTCCTCAAGATCCTTATTCAGGATTATTCAATTATAATTATATTACCCACCGCTGTCAAAATAGATGTTATATCAATTCGAAACGATAAGGAACGATGGTGACTTTTTTTTCTATGAATTTAAAAAAAGAACAGAAGTAGTAATATCTGTTTCAATAGTACATAGTAAAAATATTACTAATAGTAATAGTAATCTTTATTTCAAACAGTGAATTATAAAATTGATTAACAACGGTCCCAATATGGGTCGAGCCTGTATCTGGGGAACCTATTAACTAATATGGATAGATATAATTTTAATAATATATAAATATATATAATAATTTGTAATAGTTTGTGTGTGTAGTTGTGTGTGTGTGTGTGAGTGTGTGCTACTAACTAAACAAATAATTGACTCGCCCAAAAGGCAGTCTGTTGAATACTATTTCTGAAAATTGCTATAACTATTTTTGCTATTGCTATTTTTATTAACTGTTGAAATTGTTTTCGTCAGGTAACATTATGGGTATTCAAAAGGAAAAAGAAGAATTGGAAGACGGCCCCACTAAAGAAGCCTACAAGTATGCCGAACATTTGGACAAGCGTATGAAAAGTTTATTAGCTTTTTTTTTAATGTAACTTAGAATGGCAAACAAGGTGACTGTCCACGTGATGGAAAGTTGTAACCTTCGCTTATAGACATGAGCAGTACCATGGACATAACAATATACTGTTTTGCCCCTTATACCCTCTATGTGTTGCCATTCCTGAGGACTCAGGTGTTATAATGTAATGTTAGCTGTAATTTTTTACACTATTTCACAGATATACAGTAATGTGTTAATAAACACAGTGTAAATAAATGTGAATTAATCATTCATTCATTTACTCATTCTCTAATTGAATCTTTCGTGAATTATAGAAGAAGAACCGGAATCGAAATCGGATTTCGTTAAAAAGAAGACGATAGCGGAACAGCGGCGCTATTTGCCGGTGTTCGCCGTCAGAGAGGAGCTCTTGCAGGTCATCAGGGAGAACAACGTGGTCATTATTGTCGGTAAGGGAAGAAGTAGGAGTATTTATACAACTTAGAATGGCAAACAAGCTGACGGTCCACCTGATGGAAAGTGGTAACCGTCGCTTATAGACATGAGCAGTACCATGGACATAACAGAGTATACTGTTTCGCCCATGATACCCCCCATGTGTTGCCATTCCTGAGGACTCAGGTGTTATACCTATGTACCCTATAGATTCACTACCATATGCTCTTCAAACCAAAACACAGCCGTGCCAATTGCATCACGGTTGAAATACAAATGAGACAGAGGTATCCAAGCAAACGACTTTTGTAAAAAATCTCCCTCTGGTATAATTCTTGTAGAATTCGTCATGAGGGGTCACCTGTCCTGCTTTCATCCTCACCTATCATCCCTCATTGGTACCCCGCCAGTGTATACCATTAGCGCGGGTGAGGTTACCATTTTATTATCACCCATTAAAATATAAACAAGGTATATTACTAACAATAGCACTGTTGGTTTTTTTTAAATATGGGTGAAGATGAAATTGTAAAACCCCCGCGCTATGGGGTTATATATATATATATATATATATATATATATATATATATGCTGGTGGGGCACCAGAGAACGATGATAGGTAAAAGTAGTTCAGTTAACCCTTTGTGACGATTTCTTCGATAGTTAACCATGACTGGAAACCATCAGAGGACCTGCGTGGATGTCGACATATAAGGGTATATTGCTAGCAATATGGCTGTCTTTTTTTTAATGGGTGAAAATAAAATTGGTACCCCGCCTGCGCTATCGGTATACACTAGCAGGGCACCAGAGAGGGATGATTGATGAGAATGAAAAGGTAGGTCAGTTAGCCTATTGTGACGAATTCAACGCTAAATTAGTCACGATGGTTTCCAAGGGGAACCGCGTGGAGGTCCACCTGATAAGTTATATTGATAGCGATGGGGACTAACCTCCCCATTACTAACAATCCCTTCCTCCCGCAATAGGGCGTTTAAATCCCATTACTAGTAACTCCTTTCCCCCAAGCAATGCTGGTTACTAATCTTGTATCTGTAATGCGGCAGGTGAGACGGGCAGCGGTAAGACGACACAGCTGACGCAGTACCTGCACGAGGAAGGGTTCAGCCGGCTCGGCACCATCGGTTGCACGCAGCCGCGGAGAGTCGCCGCCATGTCCGTCGCCAAGCGAGTCTCCGACGAGATGGGCACCAAACTAGGTATGGTGGAATTGAAATGCTAACCATATCTAAATCGATACAATGGGGTCGATTCTATAGCGCCACATCTCTTAACCTATGTCTTAACCCAGTGTTTTTTAAACTTTCATGGTGCTTACTATATAAATACCCACTTAATATATAAAAATATTTTGTACGAATGAACGAGGTCGCAGGTAAAAGCTAGTAAGTTAATGACAAATATATTTAAGTCTCCCATGAGTCGTCTATTTTCTTCCTGGTTTCTCGTTGTTGTTTGCCATTCTGAGTAGCAAAAAAAACTGCTCCAACCATTTATCTATGAAAAAATTGCACCACAACCAGAGAGATTGATGCTAATATTGAAAAATCCATTTCAGGTGACGAAGTCGGCTACGCAATACGTTTCGAGGACTGCACATCACCGAACACTGTGATCAAGTACATGACCGACGGTATTCTACTACGCGAGGGGCTGCGAGAGCCCGACCTCGATCACTACTGCGCTATCATCATGGACGAAGCCCACGAGAGGTCGCTCTCCACTGATATGCTGTTCGGCTTGCTGCGGGAGGTAAGTGGAATTTTTTTTTAGCTAAAACAAAATAAAAACCTATATCTGTCATTGCCTCAACAGCGTCCGTAACGAATTATGGCAACATCGCGTATATTTGTCAATGTAAAAAAAAACAATATTTTTTAATGTTTCTGATATACATACATGTGTTTTTTTTTTATTTGATGTCTTAGATATTTTAAAGACTTATGTTGTTTTATAGAATAGAACAAACCTTTCCTCATGTTACGAAGAAAAAAACAAAAAAAAACTAGTTCATTAAACATAAACAAAGGTCTAAAATTAAAACTTTAACAACCCTAATAATATTTAATTATTATAATCGTCAATATATAGTCGAACATGTATAAAAAAATATATACACAATAATCAATTTAAAAATCTTAATTTATGAAATTAAAATAAATATAAAAATAATATAATTTTTAAGTAACAATCAGTCAAAACAATTTTCACGTTTCATACCCTACCCAAAAATCCCCATAACGCTTGTATCGTTTCCACATTGGATTGCCAGTTTAGATGTTTCTGATTATTTAGAAAATAATCTAATATTGAACTAAACATCAATTAACAGTATTTTTTATAATAATCTGTCATTGAAAATTTCGACTGTGATAGCGAAAATGTATTTTTTTTTTATGGATGATTATGGAATGGTAACCCCACCTGCGCTATCGGTATACACCGGCGGTGCACCAGTGAAAGATGATAGGTGAGGATGAAGTAGGTCAGTTAGCCCATCGTGACGAATTCAACAAGAATTGGTCACGATGGTTTTCAGGGGGAACCACGTGGAGGTCGACCTAATAAGGCATATTGCTAGCAATGGGACTGTCAAACTCCATTGCTAACAATCCCTTTCCCCCCAGCGAAAATGTATTTGAAAAATTCCAAAGCAAAATGTAAAGTAGGTGCAAAGTTTTTAATGGTAGAATTTAAATGTAAAGTAGTATATGATTAACGTTTTATTTCGCAATCAAAGTAACGTGATAGTAGTAACGTGATAAAGAATGTAATAAACGTTAAAAACATATAAATATTTCGCTGGTATTAATAATATATAAAGAAAACTACGGCAACAATTGCTAATTGTTAAACATAATGACATTACATAACACGAATGCTTCTTCCTTATAGCTAGAAGGATTAAAATTAAAAAGCACCTTTCTGTGACTAATAGCGCCATTTGCGATCAAGTGGTAAAAGACAGAACTAATTCGTAATAGTAATTTTAGTTCCTTAATTGGTCTGTAGAGGCAGCACCAACGTTCACTCCCTAATTGCTTTTAAATAACATAAAATATGTAGAAAATGAAGATAGAGAGCAATAATCGACCAGTTTTCTTTACATGAATCAATCACTAACATACCTCTTACCTCAAATGGTAATAATTCTTATTCTTATTTATTTTATTCTTTTTGGATTGATTATATATCTTTATTTAAAAAAAAAATGGAATACACCTATGGCACACAATTTTTTAACAAGTAAATAATAAGGTTTCTTAAAGGACAAAAACGCGTCCTTAACACTACTAGATGCGATTACAGGTGCCCACAGGCTACAGCAACCATTTAACATCATACATGCTAAGCTTGTTTGCCATCATAGTAATATAAAAAAAAAATACTTCTCTTTTTCATAGAGATCAAAGTAGGATCTGTTTATGATAACTAAACTAGGCATCCAAAGATTGCCTGGAAGAGATCGCTCTTAGCGATAAGGTCGCCCATTGTTTTCTCATTGTGATTATTTCTTGTAATTGTTTATATTTTTAACAAGTTTACTATTGTAATCTTTTGGAGGAAACAATAAAGAGTATCTATCTATCTAGTTTGAATATATCATATTCGTTATCGATGGTTACCAATTTCCATCAGATTGGCCGTCAGCTTAGTCTGTGGTTTTGCTTTATGGCATAATAATATTTTTTTCTTACTTACAATATTTGTACAATAATCGTAGTTTTTTTTAAATAACAGAGAAAATTAATTTATTATATTGTAAACAATGCTGAATAGGAGCTTGTTCGTGGGCCAGCGGTACGTCGCATTAGATCGTTATGCGGAACGGTTGTTGGTCCTGTTATTTTTGAATTCGTTTGACGCAGACTTTTAGTTTTCTTTAATTTTTACATTTATTAGAATATTATATCAACCATTATCTCTTCACTGCTGACTGGCCTTCCCCATAAGGAAAGTTTTTCAAATAGTTGCCACGCTTGGCAGGCGAGTTGGCAACCGCAATTAGGCTTTGATAATGTTTTATGAGGGATGCTGCTGCCCATTCCTTGACTTTTGAGAAAACAAATAAATTAAATTATTCGAATATTTTTTTTTATTTATTTATTTAAATATCTTTATTGATCCGAAGAAAATGTGGTACAAAAGGCAAATGTAATGCTTGTAGCATTCTCTACCAGTCAACCTTTAGGATGATCAGGTGATTTTTTTGTCTTTATTATCGTCTAATAAAGATGAGCTAATTTACTCAAAATGCCAAGCATTTATAAAAAATATGGAACAAGCATAAAATAAGAGTACAAAATATAATCAAGTAATCATTTATTTATAAAAAAAAAATGCATTATAAATAGAACATTTACATTACGAGTACAATACTCTCACAACAGTCAATAGATTGTCATAATATTACATTAGGTCGTAATTAGTGTACGTTTATAAATAAAAAAAAAAAAATACTTTGAACAACGTTTCAATACTCTGTATCAACGTTTATATCTCGACCACGAAAAAAAAAACTGTTTATTTATTTATGTTTTGTCATATTTTTCGTAGTCATATCATAATGAATTTTCACAGAAAATCAAAACAGTCTTTCAATTAAAAATCATAGCATAGTTAAAGAAATACTCATAAGACTAGGGTGTCACTCTCAGACCATAAAAATGATTTCCTCTTAATTATTATCGATTATTTTTAAGATAAAATATAGATAAACATTGTAATATCAATAGATTAGAGCATTACATAGAAGATTAAAGTACTAGCCGTGTGGCGTCTTTTTAATATATCGGGAATGTTTTATCTTTTGTCCATACGCGATGGCAAGCGAGCTTTAGATACTAATAAGAATTTAGCGACACGATAAGTGGAGCAAATCAAAGAGAGACAAAGGAAGTGAATACTGTCATATAAGAAAAAAAATGAGAATCAAAGATAGAAAAATAAATATGATATTCAAAAAAGGAACCTTTCGAACTTGTTACTGTTCGATTTGAATAAAAAAGTTTGACCCTAACGTTGTTCTAAGCGATAGGGTATTCAAAATTCAAAATTTTAAACATGATCGATGTTCCTGGGCCTTGCTGGCCAGAAGCAAGTGTAACAGTGGTGTCCAGCGGTAGAGCCGCTGGGCTGCGACACTCAGACCGACTTGGCCTTTTCCCTTGCGTGGTTTTGACTGACAAGCATCACGCCCATGTTCATGCCGATGTTGCCCCATTTGAGCGACTCACTTATCTGAAACAAGAGACATTTTTAAATTAGCTAATTGTTTACCTTGTTATTAATTAATAATCTGTGAAATAAGAAAGAAAATGTAATTATTATACAATCGATTATAATAACAATTTTTGTAGAGGCCAGCCCTTAACAGAGTCTTGTTTTTTTTTTTTTTTTACAACACAGGGGCAAACGAGCATGCGGCTCACCTGATGGTAAGTTCGTATTTTAAGTAAAAAAAAAATGTCCAGCAATAATTTGGCACCCATGACGCCATGGAATATTGTCTTCACACTAAAGACAAATCGATTTCAACAAAATGCCATTTTTTAAATTTCCTGGACTACTATTAAACAATTTTAAAATACAAAACGTACAATATAAGATGTAATATTTATAATGTGTTTTTACTTATTTGGCATATTCTCCATGGAAATTAGTCGTTTTAAATTAAGACAAACAAAAAATAATCATATTTTTTTTTAATGCCAAGTAAGTAAAAACTAAGAACCTATATTTTCTTCTAGTGTTAAAAACCAATAACCAACATATAGTTATCATAATTATATAAATATATATGTATGTATATATAATATATATACAGCTTCAAGAGCTAAGATACACAATTATTAGGGAATGGTTCGGATCACTTTTATTACACGAATAAAGTAAAAATTACTTGTGCAGTAAAAAGAAAAGTCACAACTTATGTTGTCACGTCGACGTTAGAAGTTTTTTTACATTTCATTTACATATATAATTTATAAGATTTTTGTTTTACATTAACTATTGTTTGAAGATTTTATTTTAAGTTTCAACGGAATAAAAGTAATTGACCTTTTTATAAATGTCGTTAAGCTTGATTTAGAAATTTATTATTATTTTTTTATTTGAAAAAATATACTTAGATTTTTTTTCATAATTAGTCCAGTGGTTTAGTTTTAAATCCTAATATATATATATATATATATATATATATATATATATATATATATATATATATATAGTAACCAATCTTAATATTAATATAAAACAACCAAAAAAAAATTACGCCTAATATACGCCAATTAATATAAAAAACAAAAATTTGTTATTGTAGCTATTTGTTCACTATTATTCCGATAAAAATACACGCCAAGAATGTTTACAAAATATGCCAAGTATAAAAACACACAGCAAACTACGCACCGTACGCTAACGCGGAATGTTAATGGTATTTAAAAACCAAATAGTGCTACAGTCGTAGTGTCCACTCAAGGACCATCTCTAACTTATCGATTTATACTTTTTATTTTTTTATTTTTTGAAGCTGGCTGCTTTTTGCACATACCGGTTCGCCTTTTACATAATTTATTTCCAGAACACAATGCGCGATCATTTGAATAAAGAATGTATCAAAATTTCAATTAAAGTAATAAAAATATAGGCCGTGTGCTCCCGGCATAAAATAGGCCACCCCTTCCTTTCCCGTACGTATCGTATGGTGGAGGGATTGGCAGCAGCGTTCCTCTGAAAACATCTAAAGAGAGTAAAAGGAGAGAGAAAAAGAGTGGTAATTACTAGTAAAAGCCATCAAGGGGGAGGCCTATGGTCTTTTTCGTTTGTACAACTTAGAATGGCAAACAAGCTGACGGCCCACCTGATGGAAAGTGGTAACCGTCGGCTATAGACATGTGCAGTACCACGGACATAACAGAGTATACTGTTTCGCCCATGAAACCCCTCATGCGTTGCCATTCCTGAGGACTCAGGTGTTATTCCTCCGCACCCTGTAAATTCACGCCATATCCCACCCTTCAAACCGAAACACAGCCATGCAAACATAACTGCTTCACGGTTGAAACACGAATAGGACAGAGGTACCCAAGCAATCGACTTTTGTACAAAATGTCCCTCTTATGTCATGATTTATATATTATGTAGATTTTTTTTTATTAATAAGTAAAAAACGTGAAAGTTTTTATCAACAATCGAGAGATTACCAACACCCTAAATTTTAATTCCTTACCTTTATAATATAATAAATTTATGATAATTTATTCAAATAATTACGTGACTTAAAAGGAAAACTAATGTCAGCGTATGACGTGCCTTCTGCACGTAAGCGTAGATCGTATGACTCAACAATATAATGGGAAAATGGCACGTTAATTTAAACATAAGCGCACGTTATCTCTCACCATTTTAAAACAATAAAAAGTAAGAAATTAAAGTGTTATAAGAAAATATTAAATTATCAATTTTATATATAAATAATTAAATTAACTGTAATAAAGCTTACATCCCCGACCACTAAATCTTTTTTTCTTATATAGGTAGCATCTATTTCTTTTTTTTTTTTTACTAATAATAAAGTTTTGTTTTTTTTTTACGGGAAAGGACGGTAATAAGTTTCCTGTAAAATAATTATTAAAAAAAAGTTATATTAACTGGTAACATTCTAGCTATTTTTTTTTTGTTCTTTCTCATAGCAAGTTTCTTATTTGCATTTCGAACTCATCCCCACGGTTGTAGCTGAAAACCAGTGTTTGGCTCCTTTGAGTCAAATTCCACATTGAGCTTTGAGCCTTTTTGCATTACTGAGGCTCACTCGTGCAGCTGTATGTACAAACTATATTTTATGTTCCAAAATTTGTACTGTTTATTGTTGACTATCTTCAAACTGTAATTTGATGTGTGTGCTTTAGCTACAATGACATCTTTTATCTATTTACGACTATTATATATTGTAAATGTATTTATAAGTACTTAAGTATCTTTCACCAAACCATATTTGTGCAAAGGTAAATGCACTGTTATGCATTAGGTCATGCAATGTTAAGTTTTATCATATATTTCAAGAATGCTTCGCTAAATATCATTGTAACCTTAATTTTGTTTATGTTCGTAGACTTATTTGCATTGCGTGACGTCATACTAAATACAACTGAACAAACGATTTTGAATGTTACTATTAAGTTAATATCTGAGCATTTGTTGTATTTTATTATTAAAATAGTATTCTCTACTAGTATCCATGTAACATTTAGCGTTTAAAATTTTTGACTTGTATCACTTAATGATTTATTGGCAATGATTTACATTTATTTTACAACTTAATTTTTTTTTTTGTTTTTCAATCCTAATTATTTAATTCTTTTTTGTGTAAGGATTCAAGATGCTGTTTTCTGGGGAGCAAAATATTTTCTTTGTTTTTTTTTTTCACATATTACTTCAACTTCGTCTATTACTTGAGTTTGACAATGAGTTTAATGATTATTAGAAGGGAAAGGATTATTCACAGCAATTTTGTCAATATTTTTAAACGTAATCTTAATAGTTTTTTTTTATCTGTCTCTGTAGATATAGACACATAATTTGTTTAACTGATAGTATAATTACCACCATTACGACATTCCAAACTCGATTATGTATTTATGTTACATTAACTAAATTTGTGTAGAATGTTAAATACAAGTAGGTATATATTAGTGCAACTATCCTATACATATATAGTAATATCATTAACATAGTGAACACAATTGGGGCACATGGAAGTCATTTACAATTTATATACCAATGGGTATTAAAATAGCCTCACCGGTATTGTAAATGTTGGCAGCTGAAAGTGTCCAAAGCTCCTCAACAATTACCATCAAAAGATGATAATCATAGGTGTTTTCGATGTCGTTAAGCTGATCTGTAACAAAATTGCTACTTTGTGCGATCTTTTTTTTTTTATTCGTCGATCCCATTCGTCTCGATGCCCCATGCATTAGCTGATGAATGATCTTCTCCTCCGATGCACCCAGTTCAATGTATCCGCTATATTACTTCCGCTATACTAAGTTGTATACATTTCACGATGTGGTAAACTTATTGCGTAGACATTCACACAAGCAGTAATGAACCTTAATGTTGTAATCTATATGACTGATTGTTGTAAAGAATCAGTCCGATGATACGGAGCTGTCCTTAGTTTTATGTAAACAGAAATGAAGTCCAGTTGATAAACCATGCAGGAATATGATAAGGACAGCTTTTGTTCACTGACACATGCATGCAATTCAAATCTAGAACCGACAACTAAATAATGATTGATCTCACATAAAAGCTTTTTCGACATATTTAAATTTTTTCGACCAATGTTAAACTTGTGGGTCTTATTATGATTTTTCTAATATTTCATTGTCTGCACGTTTAAAATTGCTCGAATGAAGGCTAAAAATGTCAAGCAAGTTTGCAAGTAGAAACCTATTTTAAGAATAGTAACAGAAAAGATAATTTACTTAAACACGTTACTCGATACGACTCGCAGGTGGAAAAACTGGTTTTGTATATTAAGAATTGAAGGTTCTAGAATGTTTGGACTTTTCTCTCTTTTTTTTTAATATTCTATTATGAAAGATTATAATAATATGCGTGGATTAATTTACCTGTCTCATACGAGCCTCTTGCGGAGTTTCTCCGTAACGACACCAATGGACGAAATGTAGTGTATTATGCCAGTTCCTCTCGAACCTTGATTTTGTTGCCATATCCAGCTGCAATCAGTAGAAGCTCCTTAGTAGCGGTTTCCACTGTTCACTGTGTCACGTGTCCACAGTGCCGAGAGAACGAAAGCCCCACGAGGCTTTCGCTATCTGAAATGAGAGGTTTCCAATTCTGACGCAAACCTAGCGAATGAAGGAAGAACTTCGAAGTTCGATAGTGATAACAGATATACCATTGAAGGTGTGAATTCATGCATTAAACACTCAAAAATCTCTAAGGCACGCAGCGACCAATAATGTTAATGACATCGTACAATAAACAGAAGATGTCCTATTGCAAATTAGATATATGTTAAAATTAAATCGGAAAGATATTGGTCTATATCTGCAGAGGGGCATTGCGTAGTTGCATATAAATGGAGGTTATCTAATTATTTTAAATATTTTTTTGCGCGACTCTTTCTAACATATGGCTAAAAATGGTGACCAATGTTTGTTTACAAACTAATTGGGGTTAAGGCGTCTGCTCACTAGTCTAATGTTGTAATTACGAATTTCTGTTTGCTGACAACAAAATTACATTGCAAAAGTATAACCTCGTGACTGAATCATCATTGTGTGCCGTCACCGAAGGCCGTCTTATGTATTCTATTGAGGCAGGCACAGAAACGTGTTTGGCTATTGATAAATGGTCCGCTGATAAAATATTCAAATCATTAATCGTGATGACTAAATCGATAACTGTTCAGATAATCGTGTGGGAAGGTTTTTCTACATCACAAACTTAAATATTGGATGACGTTGACGACATACGATAACAATTCGAAAGTGTATATTTCAAGTGCCCTACAGATACAACGGAATTGGAAACGTTTCGACTCGACTCGACATCTCTTTTTTAATATTTACCTTGGCTCTTATGTCTTTTTCACTGTTTGGTGTCTCCTGTTTGTCATCAACGTTATTTATACGGATCACAGAATCTTTCTTCCAGAAGGCACTCAGTGTAGTCTTCACGACTCGTTTACGTACACCCTTTTGTTGTACAGTATACACCTCTATCTGTTCCGCATTCTTTGTTTTTTCTGTCAACAACATAAAACAAATACGATAAATCAAATCCGTCTCTCTTAAATAATTCCTAGTTTTATTATCTAATTGCAACTGATAAATCGTTCAAATAAGTTTTGATCAAAACAAAATTTATTCCAGAAAGTTCCAAAATAACTAAGTACATATAGAAAACAATGTTCTGTTTTAAATTAAAGTACACGTTTATTATGTCCGGCGTTTAATTTATTAGCATTTAGTGCAATCGTAACGAGGTAGCGGGACGCATTGCATGAATTATTTACAAGAGCTATTATGCGGCCGACCGTACACGAGCGAGGCCGAACGATGCCAACTTCAGTATTGCTTTGGACCTTTTGTGTTACGCACGTTATCTGTGTCCCAATTCATTACGATAACTTCGCAAGGCTATTTGACTAAATTACTGTTGCAATATTTTATGATATCTACGTACCTTTACCCTTTTTCCACATGGCAATGGCGTACATATGGTAGTCTGGTGACAAGCTTGAGTCTGGCGGCAGAGGGTCCTCTGCTCGCACTTCCAATACGAATCCAGACTCGAGGACAGCACACAATATGTTCTGTTCATCGTGCTTAAACCACTTGGTCTCGCGGAGCTTGTGTATCGCTACTGAAGACCCGAAACGGGGTTTTTTTGGAGCAAACAAAGCCTGTGCTTGACTTCCGAAACGAGATAAGAGCCCCTTCACCGTGGGTGGCTGCGCGAGGCTCTTCTCGGGCGGCTTGATCTGCTGGAAACTCCGGCAGGTCACGAACCTCGCTTCCATTGAACCCTCTCCTCTCTAGAATTTACGAAACAATTTTTCCCCCACTTAACTATTACGAAGCTGGTATTTGGTGGGCGTTGGCGGTAAAGTACTCTCACTCGTGAAATCGCGTTTTGTATTCAACACTTTCACAATTATGTGCGCGTGGTTTTTGTATCGCGGGAGCGTAGAACTACACGGTGGCGTTGTAACGTTAGACGCGGCGCGCGCGTGGGGGCACGGTTTTATATGGCTGGAGGAGGGTGGAGCGGCGAGAGGGGGGGAACGACGCTCTTCGTTGACCTCTCTAGTGATGTCGATTGCAAATAACTTTTTATGTATAATAGGTTTTTTAACAGATATTTTATTAAAATTACATTACCTACCTAAGTTAATACTTAACATTCAAAATAGATAATGTAACCGTTTTAATGGAAACCCCTAATTTAGTCTATACATATAGTTAATTAAATTTTTTATGTATTATACATCGAATTCAAATAATTATGGGAAAATATGTAAAGTGCGTTGTGCAAATTTTTTATTGATTGATTCTTTATTAGATACTTATGTCAGAATGGAAAAGTGTAGCTTAGTCACATAGAATACTTTTATACCTAGTTTAAAAAAATACATAATAAATTAATATAACAGATGTTATAAAAGTATTAAAAAATGTAATCAGACTATTCTTCCACGCAATTTAGAATACTATTTTTACATTTTAATAATTTTTCTATAGCTATTATTCGTAATTCACAGTAGCACATAGCTAGTTATAAATAAAGTTAATAGTCGTTATTTATAACAGTTATTGGCAGTTGTCTCATCACTTGAACTCCGTTGCAACAAGCTCGACGTCACTGTCACACCTCCCTCCCTGATCTCCCTCCTACTTCTCCCCCCTCGCACCATTCCCGCGACTTGCCGGCGCCAACCGGCAGGTATTTTTTTTCTCTTTTTTTTACATTCAAGTCCGCAAATAGTAATTAAATAAGTTGTTATTATTTATTCGTCACGATACAGCTACGTTTTAGTGATAATTAGAACAAGTCATTACCATGATTGTATCACAGTCGACAACTCCTTTTATTCTGTAATCTAAGAACGTTAGTCAATTATTGTTCTAGAATATTCCGAAAAAAAAAAAAACTAACTCAATGGGTGTAAATATTAGAATTTATTGTAACGGATATGAATACGGATGGTCGAGGTCGTCCGTCCTATATCACTCTCACATCACACATCGGCATTCATCTTTTATTTTAAAATAGCGTCCTTGTAATCGCGCTGCGTTATTGTAACGGCTTTTTAATAGCTTGTGACAGATTTTATTTATACCTTTAACAGCTATAACGCATTGTACTCATAGAAAAACTGTTTCGTTTATTGAATATTTATCGTAAACACAATAAAAATTGTTTACATTGTGATTACATAAAATTCGGTAAACATTTAAATGTTCAAAATTAGAATGCAAAGAATTTTATCTTTGTCTTTAATATTGACGTTTTAATTTATAATATATGTAACTGGTGGAAAATTTATTCTTGATTGTGGAATTTAATTATCGAATTATTCAATATTATTATGTATTTTAAAATTAAACTACGAACCTTTTTTATTGGAAAACTGTTATTACTCCGTTAATGACTTTTATTCGAATGATTAATGTGTAAATACTAGAATGAACTTTGTCTTTGTCTTTGTACAAAAGTAGTTTGGGTGCTTCTAACCCTTTCGTGTTTTTGTTTCAGTTGTGTTTACATGGCTGTGTTTAGTTAGAAGGGTGGAATATGACAGTAAATTTACAGGGTACAGAGGAATAACACCTTAGTTCTCAGGAATGGCAACGCATGGGTGGTATCATGGGCGAAACAGTATACTCTGCTATGTCCATGATACTGCTATGTCTATAAGCGACGGTTACCACTTTCCATCAGGTGGGCCGTTAGCTTGTTTGCCATATTTATTATTATAAGTACAATATGTAAGTTCTAATAGTCGATTTAAATTAATGCTTTTTTTTTGTAAAATCATACCTAATTTGAAACACAATGTACTTTGTTGTATGAATAATGACATTATGAAAGACTATTATTGAATGTAAGAATTGAATAATCATACAATAAATTATAATCCGAGCCGAGGTTTTTCCAAGAGACTACAGCATGGGGTTCTTCAAAAGGGGGGTAAAGAGGTTTCTTCAGGGTCGGCAACGCACGCGTAATACCTCTGGTATTGCAGGTGTTCATAGGCTACGGTAACCACTTACCATCAGGTGGGCCGTATGCTTGTTTGCCACCTCAGTGCTATAAAAAAAAATCTAAATTACCAACAAATTACTAGTAAAAGTATTATTTTTAGATAGTTTACATTACTTTTTATAATGTAACGCGATTTATTTTAATTGTTCACATTTATTGTGATTTCTCTCGAACACGTCGGAAGTAGAGTCGCCGGCCTCGTTGGTTGTTACTGCACTTCTGTACCGCTATTGACCTTGCATAGTTTTGTCGTAAACGCCGTCTATGAAGATACGTCAATAAAATCACAACGAAAAAGCTTGTATTTTCATCGTAAAGTTGAATGGAATTGTTTTTTGGCAAATACATGTTCAAAATGTATTTCGTCACTTTGAACTATAATCTTAAATGCTGCTTTTAAGGTTTTACATTTTTTTTATTAGAATCACCTAATACCAAAGAAAAAAGAGTTGATATGACCAGAGCGACTTTGTACAAAAGTCGATTACTTGGGTACCTCTGTCCCATTAGTATTTCAACCGTGAAGCAGTTGTGTTTGCATGGCTGTGTTTCGGTTTGAAGGGTGGGATATGGCGTGAATTTACTGTGTACAGAGGAATAACACCTGAGTCCTCAGGAATGGCAACGCATGGGAGGTATCATGGGCGAAACAGTATACTCTGTTATGTCCATGGTACTGCTCATGTCTGTAAGCGACGGTTACCACTTTCCATCAGGTGGGCCGTCAGCTTGTTTGCCATTCTAAGTAGTATAAAAAAAAAAGAATAGAGATGAATGAATGAGTAAAATATGCTGTAGTAAATAATTGAAATAAGGGCATAAAAATTATGATCTGGTTTTTATTAAGTGACTCTGAAAATAATATTTTACATGATATTTTCGCTAGTTTTAAATAACCTAAAAACTGTTTTTAAGACTACAGTGTTTATTAGAAATAGCCGAATACCAAAAAAAAAAACTTAATACACGGTTATTTTTTTAATTTTTAACCTAATATATTGTCTCTATAAATTATCTATTTACTTATTTCTAACTCGATCTATGCTATTATATTCTGCCTTATCTTAAATTTAATCTTAGTGGATGCTCGTTGATGATCAACCTCGACAATGTTCGCCTTCACCTAGACCTTGGCTACTTGATGTCTAAGACGTTGTACGTTGCATCCTTGACACAATTTAACTTAGATAAGTGTAAAAACAAATTTGTTCCTTATATCTCATAACTTTGATTTAAATAAATCTTTTTAGTGTAAACACCATAAATGTCCACGCGCTGGACCACTGGACCGGTATTAATAAATCAGTAATTTCTAAATTTATGTTAACCAAAGTGAAAATTCCAGTGAAATTGTTTAATTTTAAAAATATTTCACTTTATTGTTTATAACTGTGAATTACGTCACTCTCATACCAGTTATAACTGGTTCTAACCAGTTCAATCTTGTTTTTTATTCAGTACTATTATAATAGTTGATCTCCTTGGTTTATTATATACATTATGCATTTACAAGTCGATAATGAATCTGCTGCTGATTGTTTCATTTAGATAACGACGGTATTAATGTAATAAGAAGTGCTTATCTATTAAAACGTTTATTATCATTATTATAACAATCCATTTAAAATCCACTGTTGGATATGGATCTTCATCGTCAATCATCAAACCGTCTTTATTCCAATAGACTTGTTTACATTTTTAAATCGTCATTTTTTTAAGTCTACCGCTGGGTCTGTTGAGAAGAACTTGTTAGAAACTCAAGTTACTCTTTTTAAATCTCTGTCAACTTATGTATATACTATAAGTACACATAAATTTATTTAAATGATGACTATGTTTAAAATTACATGGTCATTAAAAAGCCCGTGTATGAATAACTAACACCATGCACGCTTGTCATGTCAAACTTGTCAATACGTATTATAAAAACATTGGAATAACATGTCAAAATTTTAAATTTATATTCGTGATATATGACGTTGCATTTTAATTTGCATACATTGTCAAATTGTTATAACAAATTTGTGTTATTTCTATGTCTCTAATCAATTTACATATTGAATAGTAGGTATTGTAAGATCCAAAACTCTGCTTACATATTGTTTTGTCACGTTTTCAATAGTTCGAACGTGCTTAACGTGTCATTGTACTTAGATCTATTGTCTAATTTTTAAACACACTGTTTAAATATATATATATATATATATATATATATATATATATATATATTCCGAACATGTATTTTAGGTTATATCTAGTGTTAATTTATGTGTGGATAATTATAAGAGTAGAGAAAGAAGTAAAAAGACGTGAATGGACCGTTTGAAAGATATATGGCCAGAATGAGAGCGAATGCTAGAGAGAGAGTGAAACTTTTTTTACTTTATCCGAGCAGTAAGTACTTTATATTATTCCCAATTTCGTGTATAATATAGTATATTTCATATATGTGTAAGTATATTTGTTAATATATATATATATATATATATATATATATATATATATATATATATATTCGTTTATATATGTAATTTTAGTATGTATGTATATCAATAATTAGTAGTACCGCATTCGAGTATTCTGACACTTCCCTATGGTTGACTGGGAGAGAATGCTTTTAGCATTATGTCCTCCATGTACACATATTTGTACTAATGAATAAATAAATAAATAAAAAATGTGGAAATGACTGTGAGTAGAGATGAATGGATGAGGAAAATATGATGCATTAATAAATAATTGAGATAAGAGCAGAAATTTGATGATCTAGTTTTTATTAAGTGACTTTTAAATTGACATTTTACACGATATCTTTGCTAGTTTTAAACCTATTTTGATAATTGTCTACATTTTCAATGGACTTCAAAAAGAAGGAGGTACTAAATTCGGTTAATTTTTTTATGTTTGTTACCACATAACTCTGTCAGTTATAAAACGATTTGGAAAATTCATTTTTTTATCTAAA